GGAGGCTGGGGTCATGTTGGTGCCGCAGCCTGGCTGGCAGGGACCCCCCGGGGCTGCTTCGGGTGTCTGATGCCCCCCCCCCCCCCATATGCTTCTGGGCAGTGGGCACAGGTTGTGAATCCCATGGCAGAGCCTGTGGAGGGGAGCAGGCTACTTGGCCTACTGACCCCCCTCCCCTGCAGATATACTACGGGACACGGAGCTGTGCTTGCCCAGCTTCCTGCAGCCAGGTTGCACAGGGCTGCCCTGCCATGCAAAACACTCCTGGGGGGGTGAGGGCCATAACAAAGCCCTCTCAAAGTTGGTGCCAAGGGCTTATGCCTCCATCACCCAGTCCTAGTTATGCTACTGGTAGAGGCTGCGGAGAGCGCTGTGTAATAGCATGCACAGAGCCAATGTATTGCCTCTCTTGAGCTGGCCCCAGCAATGTTAACAATCTTCCTTTTTAGATTATGTGATAAAGGACTTTGTTGAACGGTGCCAAAAGTCATGGGTTTGAGCCCCTGACAGATTGTCATTAGCTGTAGGTCCCTGGCTTCTAATCCGGGGATATGAGATGCTAGATACCAAGTTATTATAGAAAGCATTGCCAAAACACTCAGGTTTGAATCTGAATGTCTGGTCATGCAATGAGACCCCTGCACAGGCCAGCAGCAGGGCTTGCACCCTACGGCTTCACAGCAGTGATCTCTTTCACTTGAACTCTGCAAGGAACTTCATTACTTCTGGTAGCAGTAGTAGGCTGTTATCCTTTAGTGGCCCAGGCACCACACCAGCATGTGAAATACACTTTGATGGTGTTACTTTAGCGCTTCAGAATGGGGCGAAGGCAGCAGCAAGGAGGAAAGGTTTTCACTCAATTAACTTTGGCAATGCATGTGTTCCCGTTAGGGAGCAATTCATTTTGGTATTCTGAAAAATGTCAGCTGCATTAAGGTTTACTACAGCATGCTATGTGGCCAGAAATATTTTTTTATGAAATGCATAAGTATTTTCATACTAAATACATAAATCATAGAAAACCAGAGAAAACAGGACTTAGAAAGGACAACAGGAGGTCAACTACTCCATTCCTCTGCCCTGAAGTAAGATTACGAATACCCCAACCATTGCTGACAGAAATATTTACACAGTAAAAATATGGCCTGTTGGGTTAAAAACATGCATTTAAAATGTAAATAACTAATTAACTTACAGGCTGGAATGGCATCTCTCTATTCTGTGACTGTCTACTGGGGGCACAATACCATTTAAATTAATTGCTTAAATACCTACTTATCCCATAGGCTGGAACGGCTCCTGTTGGGAACATAAAAACCTACTTAAATATGATTTGAAATGACAGATTTGGAATGCTTCTCTCTGATAATCATATGCATTTTATAAGTTTCCAGGAAGGACGGCAAAAAAAAGGAAAAATCTCTCTCCAAAGAGTCAAACTTGTATCTCAAAACCCTACACTTTTCTGACTTGACCCATATGGCAGCTTTAAAGTTCTGGTCCAGATTTAGGACTCGTCCTAAGATCTGTAGACATTCAGGGAGCAAATCTTGCAGCAGGAAGCTAAAAAAAGACATCAACAAGAAAACATTATTTGGGCTCTAGCAGACTGAGTTTAGTCATGAGACTGGGATCTGACAAACTACCTCAGATCTCAAAAATTGAGTTATTGTCAGACATGCATGGCAGGATGTACGATTTTTAAGATAAGGGATAAACTTGGTCAGATCCCAGTCTCCCCAATGCCAGGATCCTAGTGTTCCTAGGCATTTAAAAGTCACATGTGCAACCCAGCTGAAGGCATGTCTTTTCAAGGTTCAGGAGCATGGGGAGCCTGGAAAATTAAAAAGCACCCTACACCTGGGTGCATGAATACTAGGGGGTGGAGAGCTGGAATGGGGGACTCCCAGATCCTCCGCTGCCCACACCACAGACAACTAGAGATCAGGGACCTCCATGTCACACATTCAAATTGAAACACAATACAAACTGGCCACAAAGACATGTTAAATGCCATTTCTATCGTGTCATAAATGTAGTTGACTGTTTGGTGTATTGTGATTTATTATGTGATATAAATGTAGCATCTAGCAGGGACCTTGCTCAGGTCCAGCTCAGATATTTTCCCTAGTACACTCCATCCCTTGTTGTGGGGGGGCTCTTGGCTACTATTTGGATGCTGCTCCTTGTGTGCTTCCTACTCCCTGAACCTGTGTCTGGATCCCTCTTTTCCCTGTCTACTCCAAGCACTACCTGCCCCTGCCCGTGCACCCCATCTCACAGTTCAGTGCAGAAGTATAGATTGGGGAAGATGGACCAGTTTTATGGGACAGGCCGCTCCCTTTCTCCAGCAATCAAATGAGGGGACGTTGGATGTGTTTAAAATGGCACGGACTAGTATAAGTCCTAGCAGAGACCTTCTGGCAGTAGAAATTGTGCATGGTTGTGTGTATGGTGGTGCAAAACAAACGTGCCGCTGGATTTGCAGAAGATCGGCAAAGACATCGACTGAATGCATGTAACACCCTGTACTGTAAAAGGACACTTCTGCACATGTGACTTTTTGAGTGCATTTCCAAGGGTAGAACTTGACCCAAAGTGAATTGAGCAGGTCTCTTAGCTGACTAAGGGAGTTCAGTTGCTTTATCAGACAAGTTTTTCTAAGTGCACACCTTATAAAACATGTCTAGAGACTGCTGTCAAGACAAAGGAGTCACCCAGTCCCTCCTTAACAGTCATGGGGTGAGAACCTTTTCTGAGTTGAACCAGCACAGCTCCACTGAAGTGAAAGAGGTGTACAGTACCGTTCTTGCACCCTCCTGCAACAGGCAGAATATCTGCACTGCTTCACCTGGCGCTCCCCAGAAGCATTGCTGTCGAGCACACCCAACTCCACATGCTCTGGTCCCAGAAACGAGGTGGGGTAGCCAACCAGTGGGTGCCCCATGCCACTGCTCCCAATCCTGTTCTCAAGGGCAACGAGGGTCAGGCACCTTCATAGGACCCTGAGTAGGATGCGTTTGAGAGCATTTTTCCCTAGTAGCACTGTAAAAACAGTGTGGATATAGCCAAAAAGACTCTTTTTTTGCCCTCCTGCTACAACATTTAGTGGCTTCAACCATACTCAAAAATGCAACCATTCTCAAAAAAGTTCTTCTCTTGCTGGTTTTACCCCCCTGGCATAAGGGGAATTACTTCTGCTGTATACTGCCATGAGACATCAGGCTTGTAAGCAGGACAATTAGGAGAGATTAAGAAAACACGGTTGTACAGCTCCTAAATTCAAACCCTGACCTGAGCAAGTTGTGTGGGCCCACTGCTAAATACATCATCTTTTGATCAAAAACACAAACTCTAGCGAGTTTGGCCAGGCTTCAAGTCTACAAGATTTTTTCAGCCCCCTTCTTTGTTTAGGTGTTTTTTTATGTGGTCTTTCTGGTATTTATGAACCTTTGTTTTAAAAAAATTAGCCCAAAACATGCTTTGATCCTAGAGTTCCTCCGGCCAAATTCAAGTCAATATGCCACAGGTGTCCACTGTAAGAGCCGGAAAAACAAAAGCAATTGGGAGGCACGTGAAGACAGATGTGAAGTTTAGTTTAGTTCCCAGAAGGACTGACTCAGCCTTTCATCCTCCCGACGTAGACAAATTGAGCTCTTGGGCAGTCGGCTGCGTGTGGGTCTTCAAGATGAGACCTTGAAAAATCCAAGGTGCTTCTTGCTGTGCTTGGATAGTACAGATAACATGATGAATAAAACTAGGGTTTGTTCCAGCAGCCTAAACCACTGTCCCTTCTCATGATCAATATGTGAGATACTATTAAACATGTTATTTTACGGCATCTCAGACGTGAGTTGGTAGACAAGATTGAACAAAAAGTAGTGACTTGTTGCACTAGAGCTTGGAGAACAATCCATGCACCCGCCTGACTTCAAACTCCTAGTAACTCACTCTTTGTAGGACACCACAGAGGTCAAATGACTAAATTATCAGTGTGCTCTTGGTTTATCCTACCAGAGCTACTGAAGCAAGCCAAATATTTCAGTCCCAGCTGATGGAGTTGCGAGTAGGACATGCTGACTCCCACATCATATTTTCCAGCATTTTGAGTTTACTGGCTTCACATCAATTCTCCCCTCCCACTGAACTGCCTCTTCTTCCAAGTCAGGAACAACAACTTTTCAGTATTAACAAAAATCTCTCATTTGCTCAGTGCAGAGAAACTCTGGTCACTGTCAGGCAGCACAAACTTTTGTTCCCTTTAAAGAGTTGCCAAGAGAGGGCTGTATTTTTAGTCCCTTTCTTGCAATCAAAAAAACAGGGGGGAAAAAAAGAGAAGAGTAGTTGAAAGTGATGTTAATGGACCTGTTTTCTAAGTGAAGATTGAGGCAAAATATCCATTCTGATGATGTTCAAAGGGTAGAGTGACAAAAAATATACCTCTAACTGACAGACAGTTCAATACAGCTTTCTTGTTTTATTGCCTTTCATGTTATAAAATATCTTAGCAACACCTCTCAAGCTGCAAACAAGTCCCAACACCTTTGAAAAATAAGAGGTTACTTGTAAGAAAGAAACCTAGAAAACTATTTTTAATAATAAAACTTTAAATCCTTCTCATTTGGATTCAACACTCTAAACAGGTCTTTTTTCCATCTTTCCACGGGGATGTATTGCTGATGGAAGATTAACAGCTCTGAAGCCCGGTGCCTGCATTTTACAGCGCAGAGGGTATTTGAAACACAGTGAGATAAAAGTGGGATAATGTGTATAACATTTCTCATGTAGCTATGCATTTTGCTCAGAATGGTGCTGGAACCACTGGGCATGCTCACATATGTAAATGGCCGCTAGGATACACTCGGGGCCAATCTAAGTAGGACACCCAAAATAAGGAGAAATCTGCCATAATTCTAGGGGCAGTAAGCAATAGAAAAGATCCTGCTTACTGCTTGGCCCGGACTTTTCCCCTAACCTTAGCTGTAGCAAAGGCTCTGACTAACAAGTTCTTATTTTCTTCTCTGAGATGGACTTGTTGATTAGCAACCCAAATCTTAAAAGAAGCATAATCATGTACCTACAGCAGCAACTGTTAGGGCACTCAACAACCTTTTCATGAGCAAAACCAACTCATTGATCTCAAAAGCCCAAATCACAGTGCTGATTCTATAAGATTATTCTATAAGATTATTACCCCATGGTCCTAGTCCATGTGGGCACAAATG